GAGAGAGAGAGAGAGAGAGAGAGAGAGAGAGAGAGAGAGAGAGAGAGAGAGAGAGAGAAGAAGGAAGAAGAAGAGAAGAGATGAGATGCACAGCAGGCAGGGAGAGAACAAACTTGAAAGAGACTGAGAGGCCAGGCCAGAGAGAGCTTGGCAAACCAACCTTTGGCATGGTGACCAGGAGGAAGGTTCTGGTAGGAGTTTAGGCTCCGAAATGCTGCCTGGAGTAAGCCAGTGTGCTGCTGCCCTCTCCAGGCACCAGGGGATAGTGCAAGCTACTTAGGCTTGTACAGACATGTCCTCAGATGTGCCGCGTTTATACAGTCATTTTTATGCAACCAAAGAAGGCATTTTCAGTTAATTACAAGAGAGTTTGCTCTTTCCTCCTTAATAAACCACAAACTGAAAAAATGGGTCATAGAGCAGCACCTGTGCATGTCAGACAGACTGCTGTTTTGTGTTAATGCTTCTTGGCTTCAGAAAAAGGAATCCCAAAGAATTATGAAAGAGGTTGGGATGGGAGAGGAGATGCTCCAACGGACAGTGTGCAGTGCTCTTGTCTGTGAAGTTGGAAAGCTGCCATGGTAAAAGGAGAAACGAAGTGTCAGGAAGCAAGGCAGGGAAGGAGCCAGGTGGTTGGGGTTTGAATGTGTTCTACTCACAGAGGTGGCTACGATGCCCCTGTGCCATGGACAGCCTCCAAAGGTGGTCCTGGACATAAGGTGGGGCACAAAATATCAGGCAGGTATCAAAATGTAGATCAGGACAAGAAGAAAGGGCATAAACAGTGCAATTTCTCCAGGGTTAGCCCCCTGGGGGGCTTGGCAGTGCGCTGGTACCCATAATTCCCTGAGCCACAAGTCTAAAGCTAGCTGAAGCCCTGTCTGTAAGTATTAGAGACCATTTTCTTTTCTGCAACATGATAATGGCCATTGGTGTTTTGTCCCTATATTTAAGTGAATTACAAGGACCAGCCACTCTTATTAAATACTCTTCTTGTAATCAATGAAAAAGCAACCAATCCAGGTTGACTCCACTGCTGCATAAAATGAGGAAGCTTAACTGAGATTCAGACTGGGACTGGTCTCCAAGTATACTTAAATTTCAACTCTGTTTAATTCCATCAGCAAACAGCTCTTAACCTGCTGCTGGGTATATGGTGCCCCAGTTCACAGTATAGGATAGAGAGTAACTCCGGGAGGACAAGCTGAGATTGCTCAGCCTCTGTGGCACATCACAGCCACATAATATTTGTACAATGAATATGTGGATGAGTGAATAGGGGGAGGGGAGCAGAGAGGCAGAGTAAAGAAATGGATGAATACCAGAAACAAGACAACTGCTAAGACACTCCCCTTCCACAGAAAGCACGTAACCGTTATTGAAATCAGAGTTAGTAAGACAAGAAGGCTGCAACCACTGAGGAATCTCAGAGTGCTGCAGAGAGGAGCCGTCCTGTCTGAAAGAGGGGAGTCACAACAGTCCGGCATGGAGATGGCATTTAATAAGTGTGAAGGGTTCGTCTCATTTCGTCAGCAGAGATGAGAAAAGGCAGTTCAAAGCAGTAACAGTAATGAGTAAAGGTAAAGAGCCAAGAATGTACATTCCAGAACCCTGTGAATGATAAACAGATGCCAGGGTGGCCAATATATGGGGCCCTTGAGATAAGGTAGGGCAGATAAGGAGCTGTCCTCACATGCCAGGCTAACACAGTGCTGTGGGATTTAGTGACTGGAGAGCAGCAGAGCTAGGGCCTTGGGTGATGGAGAGCAAGTTAGGGGCAGCAGTGCAGTAGAAGCAGCAGGCTGGTGGGGACTGCAGGGTAAACTGGCCATAGGGCAGAGAGAGGTGAGCAACGGGCTTCCAGCCTGACAGCAGGCCACAGTGCCAGAAATAGACACCTCAGAGACAGCACTGGTTCTCTCAGGGGAAACAGACAGTGGGGAGGGGGCAGTTTGACAGTGGTGACTTTGATTTTGAATTCTTTCTTAATCTGTAAAACCAAAAGAGCAGATCCTTGGGGGTCCCCGATAGGCACAGGATTTGAGGGTTAGCCCCAGTCCCCCTTCAGCAATGGATACGGATGGCACTGCAGCTTGATTCTGGTATGTTGGCTTTATCCACACTGAGAAATACATCTGAAAGCCCCCCACCCCATTCTAATCTTTATCACGCTGTCTCTGCCTCATGCCCTCTAAAGAAACAGATTTGATTTCACAACCTGTTGGACTAAAAACACAGCATACTAATCATAACACCATATTCTGCGAGGGCAGATTTGACTACCCAGTACAACACATTTCAATATGAAATATTCTGTATACAAGTCCAAAGCCATGCTCATAGAAACAAGGAGAACATGGAAACAGAGACTTATAACAGATTATGTACCACACATAATCTCTCCAAATAGGAAAAAAAAACATACTCTGTGGTAGCATAGTGATAAAAAAGACAAAGTCACAGAAACTGGGGTGTGTTCAAGGAGGATCTCATCCCTTTGGGGGTGTCTGGTATCCATGTGCTATATTAATGCCGATTTACTAGTTACCATTGATTTCAGGGTCATGGGGAAAAGGATCCTGGGCTGACTGATAGCTGAACTATTTCACATTCTGTTCCTGGGCTAAATCACACCACCACCTTTCTACTCTCTATCAGCAATCTCTTTCTCTGGAGGCAAATAAATACCAGTCATGCTCCTAAACTCTGGAGTCTATACTAAACCAAAGAGCACAGAGAATCTTAGGCTGGGCTGGATAAAGAGAAGGGTGGGTATGTGTAAGACACCTTTCATCTTTGCCTCCTAGAGCCTACGCTGTCTTAATCGCTTTTCACTTCCTACTTTACAATCACCTCTACTGCTACCCCTCCCTCCAGACAGCCTGCAGATGGAGGTTGGGATTTGAAATTCTGTGTTGATTTCACATAAAACTAATAGTAACAGGAAAGTTGAATACTCCATAATGAGTTCCAAGAACAGGGATTTAAAGCTAAAAGGAGCCTGTAGGGCCTTCTAATCCGAGCCCTTTATTTTGCAGATGAGGAAACTGAAGCCCAGAGAGGTGAAGTGAGGTGCCCAAAGCCACACAGCAAGTTGCAGGCACAGCTAGTTCCGTAGCTCAAGTCTCCTGACTCCCAGTCCAGTGCTCTTCCCATTACTCCACGGGTCCTGTCTCTAAGCTTCCTGACAAATGCTAGAACGGTAAACCTCCACTAGTATTTTTCCAGACCATGTTAAAACTCTTTAAGGGGGGAAAGGATGCTTTCTTGGATAATGTCAGCCATACGTAGCTCAAGCTGTCTAAAGTTCTGGGACAGGGTCTTTTTATACAGCCAACAGAGTCCAAATGTGGTGCTGTTTGCTTGGCCCATATGCTTTCATGTGTTCCCAGTTAGGCCATTACTGGAGGGAAAAAAACAAGAATCAGCTTGTTTTAAAACAAGGGACATACTGGACTCCCTCCCATCCCCCTTCAGAAAAAAAAAATCAAGTTATCTTTAACAGATTCTAAAAATGCCTTTTCCCAAATATGCAGTCAGTTCCTTCAAAGGGCCCTTTGTTTATTCTCAGGAAGAAACCCAAGACAGCTGAAAACCAGAAGGCATCTGAGGAGAATGAGATTACTCAGCCGGGTGGATCCAGCGCCAAGCCGGGCCTTCCCTGCCTGAACTTTGAAGCTGTTTTGTCTCCAGACCCAGCCCTCATCCACTCAACACATTCACTGACAAACTCTCACGCTCACACCGGGTCATCTGATTGTGAGTACAGCAGCGAGGTGATGGTGTCTTCCCAAAGCTTGGCGCGGTGCTTCCCCCCCACCCCAGGGTTCTGGCTATTTTGCATTCAGAGCAAGCTGTTTCCATTTGGTCTTCCAAAGTAGCCAAAAGTAGCATGCCACCATTTTGATCCAACCAACATCTATATATTTTCAAAGCCAGAGAATATTTTAAAGCCAGGTAACCAGCCACTTGGTCTCAAATTGTTGATTAATTGCATGTGACCCCATTCTCTTTCGTAACATTAACTCAAGAAAAGAAGTGATACTGCTGCTTCCTGGTGTTCTTGCTCTCAGTAACAGCACTTCAACCGTTACTAAATGGAGTAACCAAATATGGACCTCAGAAGGCCAGTGAGACACAAGGAAACAGCCATTTCCAAATTACATAACCCAAGTCAGATTTGCATTAGTTATTGGAGTCTCATGTAGCTTGGCTGAATTTCGGTCTTTCCAGTTTTTAATTTATTTTGAAGTGGTTAAAGGATAGCATACATTTACAGAAGAAAAAAGAATGGCTTCCAAGAATTCAAAAGCCACCCAGACTTCGCACAGCCAATAAGAATGCAGGTTAAAAATATTTTTTAATTAAAAAAAACTGCCTACAGACTAAATTTGGAAAGGGGCACTTAATGTGAATCGTCACTATTGAAATCACTTCTTTGCTGTTTATTTTTGCCATCTTCTCACTAATGTAGAAGTCACTTCTTAAATTCTATTTTAAGAAAGTTGATAGATCACGTGAGGAGGCTGTTTCTCATTTCTGAAGTGTAACCCGGCACTTGAGAGAGGAGCACATGTTGACAATACCAAACGACAGAGCATTCCTGTTAGCTAAGATGCCCAGCAGCTCCAGGAACTGATCTCCCCACAGGGCGTCTGGTAACAGGCAGAGCCAGCACAGTGGAGGGAGTTAAATAGACCAGGAAAGCTAGGTTACCAAAAAGGACTCCATTTATCCTGCTCCTCAAAGACAAAATTAAAAAAAAAAAAAAAGAAGGAAGATAAGGAAAGGGATGGTAAAAGGAAAAGAAGAAATCTCCATTAGGAAATGAGATTCCAAGTCGCTTGCTGTTATTTTCTAGAAGAAGAAATATAAAATTCTGCAAGGAGGACAAAGGTGAGTGAGTCTGGGAGACCCCTCCCCCACTCACTTTGCAATGGTAGGCTCTAGACAGGGGGTGTGAGCTGGGCCGGGGCTGGGCTGTGGCCACACTCAGCTGTCACTAGAGAATGGGAGCAAAGTGAGATCCAAGTCACTAAGGCCATGTGACCTGTGCCCATCAGACTTGCAGCTTCTATTTAGATAGAGGGACGGAAGCAGGGACTTTGTTCCCTGGACCATCTTCCTAGTCACATCCTTGGGCTTTCTTGCCTGGAAGTCTCCAGGCTAATAGTAATGACAGGAAGAAGTTGAAATAGCATGGCACAGTGCCTATAGACGTGTGCATACCACGATGCTCCTGCCTACCAGAAAGGTAGCCTTTCAGTCTGGTAAAAGGCCTGGAGTCTCAGTGTGCACACCTTCCTCACCTGGGTTTCTGCCATACCTATGGGGAAGATTGCATAGAATGGCCCTAGCCCAGAAATCTGGTACAAACCAAATGAATGTTTTTCCGAGTGGAAAAAGCACTATGCTTCATGTACTGTACGGCAGCATCCTCTGGCCAGGCCTTACTTGCTCTACTAGCCTGGCATATGTAGAAGGAACAGCAGGACAATGCTGTCATGGCAGACCTTTTGGAAGCCAGAAGAGCAGAGCTCAATGGGGTGTCTGAATGCAGTTGGAAAGAGACCCAACCAGGAGGAGCAACCTAATCTCCAGCTGTCTAGAAAGTCACTTTGATTTTGCCATTAAGATGTGTAAGTCTCTGCACCAACCTGTTGTTGAAATTGGTTACACTTCTCTCCAAACATATTTGGATTGTAGTTTGTCCTGATTTGAGCCTACACTGAGGGGGAAATTGTTTTTAGGAAAGATTCACAGAAATCTGTCCATTTGGAGGTTGCTTGAGAGAAGACAGGAAAGGAGTTTATTTTAAGCTGTTAAATTTTTTGGATGCTCTTCTTGCATTCAAGAAGATTTTTTTTTTTTTTACTTTCAAATGTCATTCTTACCATAGATTAATTTAAAAGCCTAATTCCTTTAAGGTAAAATATTCAGTTCCTATTTAGAATGAACAGATTTGGGGCACTTAAAAATAGTGCCCTTGACTTGTTAGTCCCTTTAACTTCAAGAACATTCTACCAGTATGTGGTGTTCCAAGATTTCATAAGCTTGAATTTCCATAGCACCTTTTTATTTTGTTGAGTGCTTAGAAAAATTATTCTTAGTCGTGACTTAATGCCCACTTCCCATCCATCAGCATGATTCTTCCCAATTTACAGATGAGACAGTGGAGAAACCTGACACCTGACATAGGAAGGACTTGCCTGCAGTGCACTCACATGGGTGCCAACAAGTGTTTATGAATTTGCTCTCCTGAGTATCCAGAACTCTAGGCTCAATGCACAAAGATGGTATGCCTTCTATACATCCAGGCACCTTGAATATGTGTGGCTACTCATCATGGTGATACAGTCACAAAAACACACTAGATAAATCATACCCACAGACGAGAAGTGAGCTGTGCTGTAACTAGGAAAGGTGACAAGCCATGGGCCTTCCCTATGCACCAGAGTAAAGATGGCCAGTCCAACAGCATAAATGGTCTTAATGATCAGTTGGTGGTGTATCCTGCTGTGCTGCGGCTCTTCCCCCTTGCCCAAAGATCTAGTGATACTCAAAAGCGGAAGTAGCTTTACTGAGATGCTACTGTTATCTTGCCATATTAAAGTATGTTGTTTGATGGTGCACTTCCCAACACAATTTCCTCTCAGTGATACTCTACCATTTCCATGGAGCTTGTCACCTCTCCACCATTTCTGAAAGCGTAGTGGCAAGCAAACTCAGATGACGATAATCAAAGACATTACGGTGAATTTGGGAATAGAAAGCGTGCAAGTACCCTAGGTGTTTGACAGAGCAGTTAACTCACCAAACAGGCAGAGTATGCACGGAGCCAAGCTCTCCCTTCAAGGGCTTAAACAGAACCAAGTAGAGTCAGGAGAGCAGACGAAGCCCTTCTTATGAGAAGCCTGTCCTGACAACTACCAAGCTGCTGTAGCACATCACAGTCATGTTCATGTGATAGACGCAGCAACCAGAACGTTTATTTGCATATTCCTTCCATTCTGTCCCCTGTTCCCCCCAGTGAGGCTCCCATGGAAGGAGGAAGAGCTTCTCCCTTTAGCAGCCCTCTCTACTGTAGATCTGCGTTGGTTGGTTTCTGTCATCAGAAGCTGGAAGCTGACATCCATGGTCACTTACCTTCCAGTGTTTCTGTGCTGGACTCGTCAGACTGTCTGGTTTTTCTGTCCTTGCCAAGATGCATTTACACATTAACAGTTTTTATTTATTTTTAATTTAACCTTTACACAGTAGCAAACTGTTGTGTGGGTGGGTTTAAGTTTAGCTGTGTAGGTAGCATGGTGCTGATGGGGCTGCCTGCTGTCGAGGAGACTATGGGCTCTTCCTTTCCTATCTCCTGCCTGCTCTCCTCCCTGACCTTCCCCTTCCTCCCCCCTCTTTCTCTCCCTCCCTCCTTCCCTCCCTCTCTCCCTCCCTCCCTCTTCTTTTCCCTTCACTCATCCAGGCCCTGTGATTAAATTTTTAGTACACTTGGATCATTTTGAACTTTTAAGCAATTTCTGAGAGAACAAAACAAAGAGGATTTTTATGGCAAACTCCATTAATGCCACATTAAGGCTGACATTTTAATTACCCCCAAGTCAGGAAATGCAAAGTTCAGGTTCCCACAGCAACAGAAACTGTCCCCTTGAGTGCTGAGCAGAGCATCCCAGCCGATTCTTTCATCCCGTGCTTACACAACACCACACCGGCATGAGGACATTGTTTTTAGCCATGTGGAAAGGAGCAGCCTTTATCCTTTGTGTCTCTTCAGGAACCACAGTTGAGGATATGAGGCTTTAGCAGCCCTCCCCAAACCATCTCTATGTATTATCCCGTAACGGAAGACATGCTCTACATGTGCACACAGACAGGATTAAAGTTGCTGTGGGGACATTAACTCTGGTTTCCGGACTTCCGTGCCAGTCACATTTAGACCATAATGTTGTAATTTTTGGCATGTAATAAATGTGCATTTCATGTACACAGACAGAAAGAAGCATAAAATGTATTTTAAAGAGCAATTAATTACTAACTTTGTGATTAAAAAACATTTGGTGCATGTTCCTTCCCATTTAGCATCAGCTGCTGGTCTTAGCCAGGCCTAATAGATGACATACTGTGTCCCATCCTGGATCTCAGATGTACTTACTGTATGTTCCTGTTCCTCTAGATAATTAATTCCTTAGTAACGCTGTAGGGGGAAAACAAAATGGAAGGAATATGCAAGCATGTAAATAGGGTAAGGGAGACTTTGAAGGAAATGATTCATTCCTGCAAATAAACCTCTGAGTCCCTGATAAAGAGCCAGAAATCTGCTAAGTGGGTGTAGACAAAGGTTTCTGGCCACCTTGGAGCATCTGGTCCTGGGCCGTAAGAACAACTTGAAAGCAGATTTTCCCCCCCATGAATTCCAGGCTTGCCCAGTGGAGGAGTGATTTCCTAACTCTTTAGGCTTCAGAAATTAAAGGTTAGTTTATTCTCTAATGACTGGCATTTGTTTTCAAACTGGGGTGTAGGAGGCAGTTGTAGAAAGCTCAGGTAAAAGGTGGGCTTTGCAAAAGAACCCCTCATGCAGATGATAGTGTTTTCTTCCTCTACACGTTAATCTCATTGACCCATTTGTGTTAGGAAGGGCAGGTCTCAAAATAACGGAACAGGTTTCTGAGTAAACGGAATCATTTGCAATACGTTATGGCATAGTGTTTGAAAATGCAAGGGCTTAGGTATGTAATGGAAATTAGGAAACATAA